TTTCCCACTGGTTCCCAACCTCCATTGGAGTTGATGTGGCTACCCTACTCATTGCTACCCTCCAGTCTATGCTTGAGGATGTGATGTGTCATAGGAGAGCTGCTTGCTGATCTCTCTTTGAACTCTTTGTGAAGAGCATGTTTTCCTACTCCCTACTCAAATTTGGAAAAGAAACCAGAATCTCATCCTAGCCCAGTTTTGTGTTGTTTTTTGTAGCTAGAGCAGTTGTGTGTACTCACTTCACAGTGTGTACCCTGGTGTCCCCCTGCCCCACAACAGCAGGAAGGGGGAAAGGGAGTTAGGATGGACTGTGGGAGGTACTGAGGGCCAGCCCTGGTGGGAGCTTGGAAATATTCTTTGGTTCTTGCCTAAAGTCACTTTTCTTCCATTTTTATGGACATAAATCTCTAAGTGTGTTTGTGTCCAAAGAAAGTACTATGAATAACTGATGATCTATTTGTTGGTCAACTTGTGAATCGTCCTTGGGGAGAGGGGAGCAGGGCCTTTATAATGTGTTGTAAACTAAGCAAATGATCATCCAAGCCACAGGGAAAAATCCAGAGATGGAAATGTGAATGCTGCCAGTATTTAAAAGCTATTTAATGCTGACTAACAGTGCCAAGTAATGGAGAGGGTTCCTTCCCACCCTCCCTTGGCAGCCCCAATAATGCAGAAAAGGTGGTGGTAAGAGCTGAGATCCGGAAAGGAGCTGAAAGACTCTGTTGAGAAGTCTTGTAAACAAGCATGTCCTCTGAGATGGAATCTTTACCTTCTCTACAGCTCATGTTCTCCAACCCCCAACCCCCAAGATCTCCCTTATGGGACAGTAGTAAAAATCCTGTGAAATTGTCTGTATGTTTTAGAATGCTCTGAGATTTGGTAGCCAAGAAGAAAAAGAATGGCCCCGTGATTGCCTTTGCCCCCTTTTTTTCCAAATGGTTTGATGCCATTTAGACAACAGTTTCAGTCTTTGCCTAAAAATGACTTGGCTGTATCTGTCGTCCTAACTGCTGGAGTTCAGAGTTGTTTCTCCTACAATGCTAGGGATCTTGTAATTTCAGGGGTGGGTCAGATACCACTTGTACAACCTCACTCTTGGAGACTGATTAACTTTTAGGCAAATATCTTTGCTGATATTTTGGCTTGAATGCCTAATCTTAAAGTTATGTTGTCCTAATTAAAAATACTATAAGGAAAGACAAACAAAAGGATAAAGGGAAATAATTTAGGGCAGTAAAAATAATCCCCCTGGAGAACAAAGACAGTAAGATAGATGTTAAGGCATTCTGCAAAGACCATTCATGATGATGATATCTTGTGAATCCATTGCTAGAGAATTTGGCAACTTCAATCAATCAACCTATTATGCAACGAAAGTCTCTACCCATACAGAGTTTATTATATTTTTACTGGGAGGCATGTATTACATACATGATATGGAAAATCATCATTAGAATTCAGAAAAGTGAAAGATCTCTGGGTAAGTTGGTCCTAAGGTAGAGGACAGAAATGAGTATCCAAAACTACCTTACATAGGCAGGAATCAGAAGTGGCTAATTTCTCTCATTTTTTGTTTTCCTGTCCCTGCTGTTTCACTTTCCTAGAATGTCTGCTTTCCCACTTTATACTTCTTTTCAGTCCAAAACATTCTTTGAGATTCACTCTTATCTACTTTATATTTTTTCTGTTGTGATTCTTCCATTTAATTCATTAATTCAATTATGTGTCTTTTCTTTCTTTCCTTTTATTAGGTTTGCCAATGGTTTTGATCCTTTTGAAGAATCAACTCCTGGTTTTTTTGATAGTTTTGCAATAAATTTATTTCTACTCTTATCTTGAGCTCACCTGATGGTATGCATAGAATCAAATAGATTACATTTGTGGAAAGACACGCTGGAGAAGCTCAATATCAGTGGTGGAAACCAGGCCAGGGGCTGATTGTGGGACAGACCACCAACTACTCATATGCAAGTTCAAGCTGAAGTCGAGGAAAATTAAATCAAGTCCACGGGAACCAAGATTTGACCTTAAGTCTGTCCCACTCGAATTTCAAAACCATCTCAGGAACAGGTTTGAGGCCTTGAGCACCAATGAGCATAGACCAAATGAGCTCTGGGAGAATATCAAGAAAATTGTCCATGAAGAATGCAAAAGATAATTACAAAGGCTGAAGAGGAAGAAAAGACCAAGATGGATGTCAGATGAGACATTTTGCATTAGAGCAGCCAGAAGCCAAAGCTAAAGGAAGAAATCAAAGAGCTGAACAGAAAAGTTCAAAAGGCAGCTCGGGACGACAAAGCAAGATACTATAATGAAATGTGCAGAGAGCTGGAGTCAGAAAATCAAAAGGGCCGAACTCACTCAGCGTTTCTTAAGCTGAAGGAGTTGAAAAACAAATTGAAGCCACAGGTGGCAATACTTAAAGATAATTTGGGTAGAATGTTAAATGATCCAGGAAGTATCAAAAGAAGATGGAAGGAGTACAGAGTCACTGTATCAGAAGGAATTGGCTGACACAGATGAATTTAATGAAACAACATATTAGCAAGAGCCTATAGTGATGAAGGAGGAAGTTCAAATTGCTCTGAAGGAATTGGCAAAAAACAAGGCTCCAGGAGTTGACAGCAAACCAATTGATTGATTTCAACAAACAGACGCTGTCCTGGATGTGCTCACTAAGTTGTGCCAGGAAATCTGGAGGACAGCCAGCTGGCCCACTGACTTGAAAAGATCAGTATTTGTTCCCATTCCAAAGAAAGGTGACCCAACAGAGTGTGAAAATTATTGAACAATATCATTGATATCACATGTAAGCAAGATTCTGCTGAAAATTATCCAAAAGCGTTTGGAACAATATGTTAACAGAACTGCCTGACGTGCAGGCAGGATTTAGAAGAGGTTGTGGTACTAGGGATATTATAGCTAATGTTAGATGGATCTTGGCAGAAAGCAGAGAATACCAGAAGAATGTCTATCTGTGCTTCAGTGACTATGCAAAGACTTTTGACTATGTGGATCACAACAAGCTATGGGTAACTCTGAGAAGAATGGGAATCCCAGAACATTTGATTGTGCTAATGCAAAACCTATACTTGGACCGAGAGGCAGTTGTCAGAACAGAGCAGGGAAACTCTGAATGGTTGAAAATCAAAAAAGGGGTCTGTCAGGGATGTACTTTATCTCCATACCTTTTCAATCTGTATGCAGAACAGTTCATCTGAGACGCTGGGCTGTAGGAGGAGGAATGTGGCATCAGGATTGGTGGAAGAATCATCAACAACCTGCGTTATGCAGATGACACAATCCTGCTTGCTAAAACTGAGGAGGACCTGAAGCGCCTGCTGCAGAAGGTCAAGGACTGCAGTCTTCAGTATGGATTGAAGCTCAACATCAAGAGAACAGAGATTCTCACCACTGAGCCAATTGGCAGCATCAGTATGGATGGTGAAGAGATAGAGACAGTTAACAGTTTTAGTTTACTTGATTCCACAGTCAACTGTCTTGGTAACAGCAGCCAGGAAATCAGGAGACAAATCACATTGGGAAAATCAGCTGTGAGGGACCTCTCAAGAGTACTGAAAAGCAATGATGTCAGGCTGGAGACTAAGGTGCGCCTGATCTGGGCTATAGTCTTCGCAATTACGTGCTATGCTTCAGAGAGTTGGACAGTGAATAGGGATGACAGAAAGAGAATTGATTGTCTTGAGCTGTGGTGCTGGAGAAGAGTGTTGAATATACCATGTACTGCTAGGAGAACAAACAGGTTTGTCCTGGAGAGGGTGAAGCCAGAATACTCCTGAAATCAAGGATTCTGAAGCTTCGTCTGACATACTTTGGGTGTGGTGCAAGGAGGGACTGGTCCTTGAAGAGGGACATCATGTTTGGGAGTGTGGAGGGACAGCACAGGAGAGGAAGACGTTCAATGAGATGGATAAATTCTGTGAGTGGAGTGGTGGGAATTAGTGTTTTTGGGATGGTGAGGTTACCATAGCATATAACAGCGTTTAGGGCTCTTGTACATAGGGTCACTATGAGTCGCAAGCGACTTGATGGCACATAACAACAACAACAACAACAACAACTCTTATCTTTATAATTTTCTTCTTTCTAGAGATTGTGAATCTGCTTATATTTGTTCTTCTTATATTTGTTGGAGGTGTACAGTTGAATTTAATGCTTTCCTCCTTTTTATATGTTTGCTTATTGCTATGAACTGATCTCTGAGTGCATCTTTTGCAATATTCCAAAGACAAGAGCATGCTGTCTTTTCATTCTTATTTGTTTAAAAATTTTTTTATAATCTTATTGTAGATACATTCTTGACCACGCTAGTCTTCATTAATCTTTATTTCCTTTTAAGTCATAACCTGGCACATGAGTATCATTGGGTATTATATACAATCTATTTTAATCAGATTAATCTTTTCTCATCAATTGAATGGTAAGTTCTTTTTGGTAGGTGTCAAGTCCTCAGATACTTCTGTAACACCCACAGCTTCCAGCAGTGCAGTGTTCAGCTGACATTTGCCATTGGACAAACAGGTTGTGCTTCATTCCAGTAAGTATAGGCAGCATGCTGCATAGGGTGCCTTTGAGGAGTGAACAGTTTGAGACTGTGAGAAAAAGCCTGCATTTTTGGTAATCATAGGGATATAGCTCAGGCAGTAAGACATACATACTCTGAAAAGTTTTGGGGTCTTAAAAGTTCCTTCCTTTCTTAGTTGTGAGAACTCAAAAACCCCAGTTACTATAGTATTGATTCTGACAATACTATAACTCCATATGTAGGGTTCAGAAGAGCTGTAAATTGTGTAAAAAATGAACTTATTAAGAGTGAAATGTCCACCAACCACCTCATTCATATTCATAGTATAAGATAGAAGAAGTGGGGGGGGGAGGGGAGAAAGGAAAGGAAGAAAAAAGACAGAGAAGGGATAAACAGAGCCCAAGAAGGTGGGTGGGAGACACATCAGATTCCAACTTTAAACACTACACCAATCTCATGATATGGTAATATTTAATATTAAAAGTAAATTGTAAATGTATCTTTAGAAACAATATGCTTAAAATAGATCTATTATCCTAAAACCTTTTCTTTCTAAAATGGTTTTATTCACAGTAAATTTCTTAGGTGTCATATTTTCCCTCAAAATAATAGTGCAATTTGAAGAAACTTTGTTCAGTGATTTAGGACTTCTTTTGCTAATATAAGTCCTTATAAATCTCTTGTAGGAGTGGATGAAGATTCATGTCTGTCTCTGTTTTCTTTATAACTTGCAATAGCTGCACATGCTCTGTGACAATCTGTCTGAGGTCTGTCATTTTCTGGAGCAGCTTGGCAAACAGCTGAGAGGACTCAGGGTGGTTCAACTTCAGTTGGAGCTCCAAGGCTTGCAGCAAGTTGTCCTGTATATCCTCAATGGGCTTCACATTCAGTAAACCTGGCCGGTCTAGGAAACAGAAGTGAAAAACATTAACAGGGGGTCAGTCAATACATTTTCTGGGCACCACATCTGACACATATCAATTCAAGGATGCGGTCTCAAACTAGCAAGCTGTTCTCCACCTCATCCTTCCAAATATAGGGTGGTAGGGAGTACAGTAACTTAGAGAACTGCATACAAGAAGGATGAAATTAAGTAAAAAAACAAAAAAAATCTTGGAATCCTTGCTGGAGCCATTCTTTCCCCATTTAAGAAGAAATCTGTGTGGTCAGTCAACAAAACATAGTATCCAGGTAATTCTGTCCACAAGTGGAGAGTGATCTTTGCTGCCAGTCTGTATCTGAATCTTAATTTGCTGTTGAGTCGATTCTGTGGTGATCTCCAGGAATGTTCATAGGAACCTGTCTTTCAAACTCAGAACTCACTGACATTGAGTTAGAACTGACCCAGCTGATCTTCAGTGGGCTTTCAGGAGGCTGGAAATCACCCCAGAGGAAATTGCTCATAGTTCCCTGGTGGATTGATTAAAACCATCAGAGAAACATTGTCTTTGGGTCAGTGCAAAATTCCCTATGGACTAAGTCACCAGAGCTCTAGTAATCTAGAAATCGGATTTTCTTTTTCTTTTTTAGAAATCTCATTTTCAATGTCAACTCCTTCCTGAGGAATCTCTGTTAGTGGTGTGGCAGATAAAGCCTTCGTTTGGCTGCTAACCAAAAGGTCAGTTTGAATCCCACAGTGGCTCCATGAAAAGAAATGCAAAAGTTTGCTCCTATTAGGATTTACAGTCTTAGAAACCTTATGGGTTAGTTCTACTCCATCCTATACCGTTGTTAAGGGTTGGAATGGATTCAACAGCAATGAGTTAAGCTTGTTTTAGTTTTGTACCTACTTTCTTGGAGTCCCCAGGTAATTAATGTGGATGGCATGACTCCTACAGTTCATTAACATATTTGGCTGCTAGCCAAAAGGTTGGAGGTTCAAGTCTAGTCAAGAGTACCTTGGAAGAAAGGCCCAGTGAAAATACCAATGATTGAAAACCCTGAGGAGAGCAGTTCTACTTTTAGAAATGTGGAATCAAAATGAGTTAGAGCTGACTCTAACTAGACCTGGCACTAGACCTGGTGTAGCACTAGACCTGGTCTAGTGCTCTACTTTCTTTCTTTTCTTTTTTTTTTAAATTTAATTTTATTATTTTTTATGTGTGTACCATCAAATCAGATCTGACTGGTACAGGGGAAATTGCCCCTTCTTCTCCAGCAGAGCATCTGGTGGATTTGAACCATGCGCCTCTGAGATTGCAGTGCAGCTTCTTGCCACTAGGCCACCAGAGCTGCCTCTACTTTCTTATAATAGCTTAAAAATGCTTTCTAAAAAACAGTCTATATCATCTATCTATCTATCTATCTATCTATCTATCTATCTATCTATCTATCATCTATATCATATCTCTCTGTCTTTCTCTTTGGAACAGTTGGATTCTGGAGGGTAAATATTTTTTATTTACTTGAAAGCTGGATGTAAATAGTGTTTTTTTAATTTTGTTAACAATTAAATATAAGCTAATTGGCTGTTTCTGATTTTATTAAAAATCACCTGTGGACCTGATGTTAACTGTGTTTGGGGAGAACATTGTTGCAAGTGGTACACCACTTGTCTGTCAGTTTGCTCTTCTAAGATAACTTGAGGTTGCTGTGATACTGAAATCTGTGCCACTGGTGTGTCAAGTGCCATAAGGGTTACCCATGGTGGACAGATTTTGGTGGAGCTCCCTGATTAAGATAGACTAGGAAAGCAGGATGGGCCATCTACTTCCTAAATAACAGGCCTTTGTTATAGTAGTGTAGTGGTAGATGGAAGTCAGCTGAAATGAAGAACAACCAATAGAAAACATAATTTAATAATTGGACACAATGCTGGGCAGGGTGGAAGGTTGGCAAAGGAGAGAAAAACCCTCAACCAGGTGGATTGACACGGCAATGGGCTCCTGTGTGTCAGGAAGTGTGAGGGTGGATGGTTCAGGATAGAACAGGGTTTAGATCTTTCATTCATAGGGTTGCTATGAGTTGTAGTCGACTTGATGACACCTAACAACAACAACAACAACAACAATAACAATGTGTATTTTCTAATTGACAGAATAAATAAATTTTAAAAAATACTGTTAGTGTTTGGAAGGATAAACTCCATTACTATAACAAAGGTTACTTTTGAATGGAAAGGATGCAGGTAATTTTCAATCTCCTTATTTGAATTTTAAATGTTAAGTTTAAATTAGTTCCAAACTTTTAATATTTTTCTCCATGTAGATCTTGTAAAATCTAAGTATTTTGTAGTGTAATTTCTACTGTAAATAAGTTAACCTTTATCCTCACATCTTACTATATCCCAGCCAATGTTTAGAAAAAATTAGAATATATTTTAATTTTTTCAACCCTTGTTAACTCAAATAATTTTGTTACGGATTCTTAAATTTCAATTTATATCTGCAAATAAGAGCAGCATTGTTTCTCTTTTTTTGTTTATAGTTCTCATTTAATTTTTTCTTGCCATGTAACACTGGATAATACTTTTATTATTCAGTTATTGAAAAAAACATATACTTATTGCTGTGAAATCAGAGCCTGTCCCTCTATTGGGTTTTCAGAGGCTGTAAATTGTAGGGATTAGATCGTCCACGTTTTTCCTGTGGAACAGCTGGTGGATTCGAGCTACCACCTTTGGTTTGGCAGTGCAATCCTCTACCCATCATGTCATCAGTGCTCTCTACCTTTCCTGTAGTATTAAATTAGAGTAGATGTTCATCAGTCCTTTAGTCACCTACTTAAGTTTCTGTAAATGTTCCTTTATGTTAGATATATAAAGCTACTTTCACAAGTTCCTCAAAGCTCTTGGATTCTCTGATTGCTGAAAAGATTCTTTTCCTCTTGCCTGAAATATTCTTAACTTTCCTTCATGTTACATACTGACTTCTCCATGTCTTACTGACTTCAACCTATTCTTAAAAATACAGCCTGTACCATTATGTCCTAGAAGACTTCCTGAACATTTAATCTTCCTGTCTTCTTCCAAATCCCTTCCTCTGGGTTTCTGTGGCATCCTATCTGCACCCGAATCACCACAAAAATCCATTGCCATTGAGCTCATTCCAATTCATGGCAACCCTTCATTGGGCTTCTGAGGCTGTAAATCTTTACAGGGGGAGATAGACCATTTTTCATCTGCAGAACAACTGGTGAATTCAAACCAATGACCTTTCAGTTAGCTGCCCAACATGTTACAAGCTATGCCACCAGGGGACACTATTTATCGAGTGCTTATCATTTCCCAAAGATTGTGCTGAGGGCTTTGAGGTGTATGCTATTAAACAGTCTTAAAAGTCCATGAAGTAATTTAAGGGAGAAGAAAAGAAATATTTACAAAAAAGACTTAAGTTGTGCCCTAAGTAAGCCACTTATAGTAAGTCACAGAGCTAAAAGTTGAATCAGAGTCTGTCTGATTAAAAATTCTATACTCTTAACCATTATTTCCTGTTTTATAAGTATTGACTTTTAAAAAATTATTATTAATTTTAATGAAAATTTACAGAGACTTTGGATTTTCATTCATTCATTGC